AAAAAAAAAAAAAAAAAAAAAAAAAAAAAAAAAAAAAAAAAAAAAAAAAAAAAAAAAAAAAAAAAAAAAAAAAAAAAAAAAAAAAAAAAAAAAAAAAAAAAAAAAATCTAATTTCCTGCTTGTGTGATTGGCTCACTGATTTTCCCAGAAGTCTGCACTAAGAAACAAGTCAGATTTTGGGCATCCCCTGCAACAAAAACATCTGTTTTGGTGAGATATTCCCAAAAGGAAAATCAGATCTAAAAGGGATGCAGACCCTGCCACTTTCCTCATTATAACCATGCAGGTGCAGCAGCTGACTGATGATTATAGTTATCTCTTCACTGAGAGCCTCCATTTGCAGAATCTGCTCTTAAAAGGGACCCCTGATGGTGTTATGCATGAAGGTCTTCTGAGCATCCTGCCCCAGACGTGACCAGAAGGTGTACAGGATCCTGGCCTTTTTTTTTGGAAGCAGATGTACCTGAACTATACCTGATGAGACAGGCTATCTCAAATGCGTGTATTTACGCACTTCTGGTGAGTGCGCAATTCATTCATTTATCTTATTACTTGTCATCTGCCACTCCGGATCAGTTTCCCACGTACTTACAATAGGATCTCATTGGATCCCCACGTGGGCTTCATTTATTCTCCTTTTTGGGACATTATTTTCATCTATTTGTTCACTCACTTTGTTCACCTAATGGTGACATATGACTCTGCACTATATGTATATTTGATATGTTATATTGTTTATTATGCTGCAATATTTTTTTTAGCGCTGCACCTATTACTTATATATTTTTTGGAAGGATTATTTGGTGGCCTTTTTGGTGTCCCAGCGGCTATCCTTTATTTTCAGATAGCGCTCGCTTACCACCCTTTGTTGATAATTCTAGTTATCCTATTCACAGTCACTTTGCACACGTACACAGGCAAACCGTTATTCCTGCAGAACAACAAGAGGTAGGAATCTGCAACAAAGTTTGTTAAAATATCTGCAGTGTACATAGATCACCCAGAGGGGAGTGTTTATTTCTAAACAAAATTGGAATTATTCTTTAGATGGATCCTTGTGAATGACAAGTTGTCTAGCATTATGAATAAATAAAAAAAACAAATTTAAAGCCGCTTGGGCCCTCCATGAGTCGCTGTGAAGTTCCTACTGTATCAGACCCCTTTTCGCCCCTTTGATTGGTTGGAATTCAGATCAATACAATCGCACATCATATATCGATGCGGATGAGAAACTCTGACTCTGTGTATGGAGGCTAAAGAAGTTGGTTTTATGGCCTCCACTTGCTTTTGTAAAACAGAACATATACACTCACAGGCCACTTTATTAGGTACACCTGCTGAATTGCCTGGCAACACAAAGTACTAATCGGCTAAATAACATGGCAGCAACTCAATACATTTAAGCATCTAGACGTGGTGAAGAGCAAACAGAGCATCAGAATGGGGAAGAAAGGGGATATAAATGACTTTGAATGTATGTAGCATGGTTGTTGGTGCCAGACAGGCTGGTCTGAGTGTTTCAAAAACGGCTTATCTACTGGGATTTTCACGCACAACCATCTGTAAGGTCTACAGAGAATGGTCCGAAAAAGAAAACATTTCCAGTGAGAGGCAGTTGTGTGGACAAAAATGCTTTCTTGAGATCAGATGAGAATGGGCAGACTGGTTCAAGATTATAGAAAGGCAACAGAAACTCCAATAACTACTCACTACACCCGAGGTATGCAGAATACCATCTCTGAATGCTCAACACGTTGAACCTTGAAGCAGATGGCCGTAAAGCAGCAGAAGACCACACCGGGTGCCACTCCTGTCAGCTAAGAACAGGAAACGGAGGATACAATTCACACAGGCTCACCAAAATTGGGCAATAGAAGATTGGAAAAACATTGCCTGGTCTGATGAGTCTCGATTTCACCTGCAACATTGACATGGTAGAGTCAGAATTTGGTGTAAACATAAAAGCATGGATCCATCCTGCCTTGTATCAATGGTCCAGGCTGGTGGTGGTGGTGCAATGGTGTGGGATATTCTCTTGGGCACACTTTGGGCCCCTTAGTACCAACTGAGCATTGTTTAAACGCCACGGCCTACCTGAGTATTGTTGCTGACCTTTATGACTCCAGTGTCCCCATCTTCTGATGGTTCCTTCCCGCAGGATGATGCACCGTGTCACAAACCTCAAATCATCTCAAACTGGTTTCTTGAACATGACAATGAGTTCACTGTCCTCCACCGTCACCAGATCTCCATCCAATAGAGCACCTGTGGGATGTGGTAGAATGGGAGATTTGCATCATGGATGTGCAGCCGACAAATCTGCAACTGCGTGATGTCAATACGGACCAAAATCCCTGAGGAACGTTTCCAGCTCCTTGTGGAATCTATGCCATGAAGAATGAAGGCAGTTCTGAAGGCAAAAGGGGGTCCATCCTGGTACTAGCAAGGTGTACCTAAAAGCGGCCGGTGAGTGTATTTTAATTAAAAAAAAAAAAAAAAGAAAGAAAGAAAAAGAATGAAAAACTTTAAACTTGGAAGAAAGCCTGTCATACCAGCACACACACGACAATGCAATCTGATAAAACAAACACATAAAGCAAGCTGCCGTACCATGAGAACAATTGGCAGTTTCCACACCAAACAATGACCAAGCAGGAACCTTGCGTTTTTTCTCAAGAGAACTCACTAAGCACCAGGGGAAAGTTCTGCAGATCTGCCTTCTGGGAAAAAAAGGCTGTTTATTTATTTTGGGCCGGGTACAGTCATAGCGTTATCGGGCCCTCATTGTCTTACATGGTCCGTAGAAGATGAGCTCACCACCAGTTCACCGAAAACTAACAGGACTAAAATGGAAAAGTGCCGATAAGAGATTTCTCGCCGCGCGGTCATTAGTAATACAAACAAATATATGGCCCTCAGAAAGGTCCAAGAAGGACCTCATTCCCATGTGCGGGTACTCCACGGAATATACGCATCCTTCTGTACGGAGCAGGAGTGAGAGCTGCCAAGGATCAGCTCTGCTGCAATTTCCTTAAGGGCCAGTTCACACCACATGCAGTCCAGTGCGTTTTTTTTTTTTTTTACTTTTACAACAGCGATTACTGAAACCGATCACCTTCACGGATCTCTCTGCAGCAGCTAAAAGCCAGCGGCAGGGAAAAGGAGAACAAGCCACATTGCAGCTGCTGCAGAGAAAACCGTGAAGGTGATCGGTTCCAGTAGTTTCCCCCGTCATACCAATCCCCCTCCCTGCCCACATCATATTCACCCAGCTGCCTGGGCCCCCCTGCTGGCCTGGGCCCCGTACAGGAGGACTTGTGGTACCCTCTTATCCACGGCCCTGCACAGTAGGCCTGGTTGTACCCCTTATCCACGGCCCTGCAAAGGAGGACTGGTGGTACCCCCTTAACCGCGGCCCTGCACAGGAGGACTGGTGGTACCCCCCTTATCCACGCCCTGCACAGGAGAACTGGTGGTACCCCCTTAACTGCAGCCCTGCACAGGAGGCCTGGTGGTACCCCTTATCCACGGCCCTGCAAAGGAGGGCTGGTGGTACCCCTTATCCACGGCCCTGCACAGGAGGACTGGTGGTACTCCCTTATCCACGGCCCTGCACAGGAGGGCTGGTGGTACCCCTTATCCACGGCCCTGCACAGGAGAACTGGTGGTACCCCCTTATCCACAGCCTTGCACAGGAGGACTGGTGGTACTTACTTATCCACGGCCCTGAACAGGACTGGTGGTACCCCCTTATCCACGGCCCTACACAGGAGAACTGGTGGTACCCCCCTTATCCACGGCCCTGCACAGGAGAACTGGTGGTATCCCTTTATCCACGGCCTTGCACAGGAGGACTGGTGGTACCCACTTATCCACGGCACTGAACAGGAGGACTGGTGGTACCCACTTATCCACAGCCCTGCACAGAAGGACTGGTGGTACCCCTTATCCACGGCCCTCCACAGGAGGACTGGCGGTACCCCTTATCCACGGCCCTGAACAGGAGAACTGGTGGTACTCCCTTATCCACGGCCCTGAACAGGAGAACTGGTGGTACCCCTTATCCACGGCCCTCCACAGGAGGACTGGCGGTACCCCTTATCCACGGCCCTGCACAGAAGGACTGGTGGTACTCCTTATCCACGGCCCTCCACAGGAGGACTGGTGGTACCCCTTATCCACGGCCCTCCACAGGAGGACTGGTGGTACCCCCTTATCCACGGCCCTGCACATCCTTATACAAGTTGAAGAATGAAGTGAAATGCATCACAAATGCACCGGAACGCATGGAAAGCGTGCATCCGAAACGCATCCGGGCTGCGTTGCTATGGTGAGAACTAGCCCTTAAGCTGAAGTCAGTTTTGCGGTGTCTATATACAAATGCTTATACCTGGGGACTTGCCAGCATTCAGACAGATGCCGGATTTCTGCTCAGCTTGCTAGTGAGTTGTAAGCGGAAAAAAGGTCAGATGAGCAGTGATTAGAGTCAGTCACTGTTAAGCCGGCCATAAATGGATTGAAATTCGTCCAGTTCAGCAGGGACCTGTTGGGTTTTCCCCCAAACGATTAGTGTTCCCTGCTGGCAGCGCTGTGGGAGGGATTCCCCCATCAACAGTGACTGTGTTGATGGAGAAACTGAGCAATTTTTTTTCTATCCACCCGTGGCCTTTGTACAGACGAATATTGTACTGCATAAAATGAAAATCAATCGTTCTGTTATCTTATACAAGAAAAATTTTCACGCTTGGCCCTTCAGATAATTTTGCATGAACGGTCGCGATCGGCTCTAGAAAGCTGTGTACGAATGATCAGATTATCAGACGATCGCTTCGAAATCAGTTTTTTTCAGCTGATTTTCTTATTGTGTGTATACTGGGATTTAGGGCAGACTTTAGAGGGGCCAGATTGGTCAGGGGGAGTTAACAACGCCTCAGGCTTGATGGTCAGTGGAAGTAGGAATAGTGCCCCATCATTGGTGCAGGGGTGGACTGACAACTCATGGGGCCCCCGGGCAATAGGGGATCATGGGGCCCGTGTCCTTGCCCAAACTCAAAGCACACCCAAAAAAGCCTATAAAAAAAAAAAAAAAAAAAATAAAAAAAAAAAAAAAAAAAAAAAAAGTACCAGGGGCATTTCATGGGGCCCCCTACTGACCCCGGGCCCTCGGGCAGTGCCCGAGTGCTCGAATGGTCAGTCCGCCCCTGCATTGGTGTCAGTGGGAGGAATAGTGTCCCAACACTGTTATAAGTGAAAGGAATAGTGCCCCACTGCTGGTGTCAGTAGGAAGAATAACGCTCTCTTGTTGGAGTCAGTGGATTGAATGCTGCCCCAAAGGCCAGATAAGAACAAGCAAAAGGGCCACATCTGGCCCCCAGGCCACAGTTTGGAGATTACTGCTGTAGGGTACCAATGTATTTATTAGCGGAGATGTAATTTTAAGATAATGGAAAACAAAATTTTTGGTTATAAGTGAAAGGAATGGTGCCCCACTGTTGGTGCCAGTGGAAGGAATGGTGCCCCACTGTTGGTGCCAGTGGAAGGAATGGTGCCCCACTGTTGGTGCCAGTGGAAGGAATGGTGCCCCACTGTTGGTGCCAGTGGAAGGAATGGTGCCCCACTGTTGGTGCCAGTGGGAAGGAATGGTGCCCCCACTGTTGGAGTCAGTGGAAGGAATGGTGCCCCAAAGTTGGTGCCAGTGGAAGGAATGGTGCCCCACTGTTGGTGCCAGTGGAAGGAATGGTGCCCCACAGTTGGTGCCAGTGGAAGGAATGGTGCCCCACTGTTGGTGCCAGTGGAAGGAATGGTGCCCCACTGTTGGAGTCAGTGGATTGAATAGTGCCCCAAAGACCGGTTAAGAACAAGCACAGGGCCGCATCTAGCCCTCAATCCACAGCTGGAGATTACTGCAGTAGGGTACCAACATGTTTATTAGCTGAGATAGATTTTTAATAATGGAAAACAAATGGTTGGTTATAAGTGGAAGGAATAGTGCCCCATTATTGGTGTCAGTGAAAGGAATAGTGCCCTATTATTTGTATTAGTGGGAGGAATAGTGACCCATCATTGGTGTCAGTGAAAGGAATAGTGCCCCATCATTGGTATCAGTGGGAGGAATAGTGCCCCATTATTGGTATCAGTGGGAGGAATAGTGCCCCATTATTGGTGTCAGTGAAGGGAATAGTGCCACATTAATTGCTGTCATTGGAAGATATATTGCCCCAACACTTATGAGTGAAAGGAATAGTGCCCCACTGTTGGTCAGTGGAAGGAATAGTACCTCCTTCTTGGAGTCAGTGAATTGGATGGTGCCCCAAAGGCCAGATAAGAACACACACAGGGTCGCATCTGGCCCTCAAGCCACAGCTTGGAGTTTACTGTAGTAAAGTACCAATGTGTTTATTAGCTGAGATGTATTTTTAATGATAATGGAACAAGATGGTTGGTTATAAGTGGAAGGAATAGTGCCCCATTGCCCCCATTGTTGGTGTCAATGGGAGGAATAGTGCCCCATTATTTGTATTCATTTCCACCAGAGTGATGAGAAAATCCAAAGGGGCAGCATGTAAAAATTTTTCTAGAATTAACCAATTTTTAACCGTGACTGTTTATCATCAGGAAATTACATTAATTCCAAAATTGAATGTTAAAAGCAATCAAAGTTTTTGTCTACTTTAGAACGACAACTGTCAAATCTACTGAGAATTTTTGTACAAATTTTCATTCGAAATTCTACTAGTGTATACCCAGCTTAAGGATTGTTTAGACTTGCAGACCCCAGCAGACGGGGGGTGGTCACATGTCGTGGTTGCAATACTTTTTAAAACTGAAAGGTTTTATTTAATATTTTTGTTATGTAGATGAGGGGGCATTAAGAACCAGGGAAAGCAGAAGAGAAGTAAATTAACCACTTGTGGACCACCCGTGTGTGGACCACCCGTGTGGGAACAGCGACGTACCTGTATGGACCACCCGTGCGGGAACAGCGACGTACCTGTATGGACCACCCGTGCGGGAACAGCGACGTACCTGTACGTACGACTGTATGGACCACCCGTGCGGGAACAGCGCGACCTGTGTGGACTTTTATGGACCACCCGTGCGGGAACAGCGACGTACCTGTATGTATGTCGCTGGCCTTTTCCAGGTACAAGATGCACACACACGCCCCTGTCTGTGACTCTAACATTGATTGTACACAGTCCTGGCCAATGATGCATGGCTGGGACCTGCTGACTGGCTGTGTCCAATTACAGCCCAGAGCTCTGTGTTGACATTCAACACAGGGATCTATACAGAGGGAACAATCACTTTGCTTCTTTTCCCTGATGTCCAAAGATGTTTAGCAAAAAGAAGCACATACACATTAACACTCCTTAGGCACACACTTAACCCCTTGATTACTCTGAGATGTCAGCCCCTTCCCAGCCAATGTCATTAGTACAGTGGCAGTGCATAGTATTATCAATGGCCACAGTATTAGTGTCACTGGTGATGTCAGTTAGTCAATTCCTACCCAATGTAAGATAGCGTCAGATTGGCCGCCGCACTATAAGTGGCTGATCAATACCATCAGTAGTCAAAAATAAAAAAACACAAAACACACACACACACACACACACACACACACACACACACACACACACAAGACTGAGTGGTGATAAAAAAAAAAAAAAAAAAAAACACAAAAAGAAAGCTTCCTTTACAGTGTTGCAGGACCGAAGAATTGCTAGTTAAAGTAGCACAGTGCTGAACAGGAAAGAAAAAAAAAAAAAAAACGACCTTGTCATGAAGGGGGTAAATTCTTCTGCAGCTGAAAGCTGAAGTGGTTAAAGTGAAGTTGGTCTGTTACCAGCTTACAAAATAACTTCTATATATGTCATACCTCGATATATATTAGGGAGTAGATGATGCATCAGACTTTATTTTAGCTCTTTTTGCACTAACTTTAGCTCAGAATTATTTTTGACTCCATGAACACACCTGTCTGTTCTCCAATACAAAAGGACAAAAAAAAAAAAAAAAAAAAAAAAAAGCCTTTAGAAAAAAGGAAGTGGTTTTACTGTATTGCAGGAATTACCCTTTGCTCCCGGCCGCCTGCCTGTTATTGGCTGGCTGGTTCTGTACAGGAAAAACAAGTGACTCAATTACCTCTGGGCTGTGACAATAGCACCGTGGCTATCGGAGGCGTCCTCATACGCAGGTGTCCCTCCACAATACAGATGTGCCCGTATTTAAAAAGACGCCACAAACAACACACTGGAGCGCTAAAAATAAACCCCCAGCTGCTTCTTTAAATATGTCTGAAGTCGTGTCTAATCAGAAAACATGGAGTATCATGGATTAGCGCTGTTGCCTTGCAGAACCGGGGTCCTGGGTCTAAAAACCTGCAGAGCTGTGCAGAATTTTTTTTTTTGTGGCCAGGCGGGATAAGGGACAGTTCACACTACATGCGTTTCAGTTTTTTTTCCTGCATCCGAAATGCACAGAAAGAAGGTTATATGGTTGTCAATGTCATAGTTCACATCAGTGCTTGCAGTTCCAGTGTGTTCCGGTTGCAGAAAAAAAACAAAACAAAAAAAAAAAAAAAAAAGTAGAACAGGCTGCATTTTTCCTGCACAGAACGCAGTAAAAACGCACAAAAAAACACACCAGAATGCACAAAAATGCACTGGAACGCACATGCCCCTACTAAAATTGAAGACAAAAGAGAGGGGGAAAAAAGAAATGGGACACATTAAAAATGTGCCGGAGCGCGCCAAAAGAAAGCATGCAGAAACGCATCTGGACTGCTATAGTGTTCTATAGTTCTATAGTGTGAATTGGCCCAAAAAAGGAACTCTGTGAGCAAAAACAAAAAAAGTGTGAAGATCACTAGAACTCCTGCACATAAGCTTATAACATATACATACATACAAACATATATACACACACATACGTGTGTGTGTGTGTGTGTGTGTGTGTGTGTGTGTGTGTGTTCAATAAAATTTCAGCAAATTTTGGATGGTAACTTGATGCCATCTGTGAAAAAGCTGAAGTTAAAGAGAGGATGGCTTCTACAAATGGATAATGATCCTAAACACACCTCGAAATCCACGGGGGGATTACATCAAGAGGCGTAAACTGAAGACTTTGCCATGGCCTTCACAATCTCCTGACCTCAACATAATTGAAAATCTATGGATAGACCTTAAAAGAGCAGTGCGTGACAGACAGCCCAGAAATCTCAAAGAACTGGAAGACTTTTGTAAGGAAGAATGGGCAAAGATACCTCAAACAAGAATTGAAAGACTCTTGGCTGGCTACAAAAAGCGTTTACAAGCTGTGATACTTGCCAAAGGGGGCAGTACAAGATATTAACTCTGCAGGGTGCCCAAACTTTTGCAGACGCCATTTTTTTGTTTTCTGTTATTTTGAAAAGTGTACATGATGGAAATAAAATCTAACTTTTGTTGACATATTATAAGAAAGTCTAATCTGTAATTTGATGCCTTTTGGAGATGTTTCCATCTTTCCTTGGCTTCTTTATGCATATTAATAATTTTTAGCTGGGGTGCCCAAACTTTCGATCCCCACTGTGTATATATATATATATATATATATATATATATATATATATATATATATATATATATATATATATACACACACACACACACACACACACACACACACACACACACACACACACACACACACACACACACACACACACACACACATATATATATATAGTATTGAACACATGAAGAAAGGGAGGTGCAAAAAAGGCATGGAAAGCCAAGACACCAGCCGAGTTCTATCAGTAATTAGAAAGCAATCCTGCCCCTTGTTAGTGCAAATTAAAATTAGCTGGTTCAGTCTCACCTAATGGCCTATAAAAAGGTGTCTCATTACCAAGGTGTCACACAAGAAACATCATGATGGGTAAAAGCAAAGAGCTCTCTCAAGACCTTTGCAACCTTTTTGTTGCAAAACATACTGATGGCATTGGTTACAGAAGGATTTCTATATTTTCTGAATGTTCCAGTGATCATGGTTGGGGCCATAATCGGAAAGTGGAAAGAACATGATTTCACCATAAACCAGCCATAACCAAGGGCTCCTTGCAAGACTTCTGACAGAGGAGTGAAAAGAATTATCAGAAGTGTTGTCCAAGAGCCTAGAACCACTTGTGGAGAGCTTCAGGAAGACCTGGAATTAGCAGGTACAATTGCTTCAAGGAAAACAATAAGTAATGCACTCAGCCGCCATGGCCTGTACACACGTCACTACGCAAGACTCCATTGTATTCTTCTTTACAAACTCAAACATTCACTATATAAACTGAAAAATGTTTGAAGATTTTGCTTTCCTTTGAATGACTTCATGAATATTTGGTTGTAGTCGCACTGTTTCTGAGAACTGCTGTACATCTGTGTTGCATGGAGTCACCCAACTTCTGGCCCCTGTGATCAGGTATTCCAGCCCAGGATGATTGGACCACATTCCACAGTTCTTCTCTATTTCTTGGTTTTGCCTCACAAACGGCATTTTTGATGTCACCCCACAAGTTTTCTATTGGATTAAGATCCGGGGATTGGGCTGGCCACTCCATAACGTCCATCTTGTTGGTCTGGAACCAAGATGTTGCACCTTTACTGGTGTGTTTGGGGTCGTTGTCTTGTTGGAACACCCATTTCAAGGGCATTTCCTCTTCAGCATAAGGCAGCATGACCTCTTCAAGTATTCTGATGTATTCAAACTGATCCATGATCCCTGGTATGCGATAAATAGGCCCAACATCGTAGTATGAGAAACATCCCCATATCATGATGCTTGCACCACCATGCTTCACTGTCTTCACAGTGTACTGTGGCTTGAATTCAGTGTTTGGGGTCGTCTGACAAACTGTCTCCGCCCACTAGACCCAAAAAGAACAATCTTACTTTCATCAGTCCACAAAAATGTTGCGCCTTTTCTCTTTAGGCCGGTCAATGTGCTCTTTGGCAGATTGTAACCTCTTCAGCACACGTCTTTTTTCCAACAGTGGGACTTTGCGGGGGCTTCTTGCAGATAGCTTGGCTTCACATAGGCGTCTTCTAATTGTAACAGTCCTCACAGGGAACGTCACACCTTCTTTCATCTTCCTGGAGCCGATTGTTGGCTGAGTCTGCGCCATTTTGGCTATTCTTCTATCCATTCCAATGGTAGTTTTTCGCTTTCTTCCACGTCTTTCAGGTTTTGGTTGCCATTTTAAAGCATTTGCGATCATTTTAGCTGAGCAGCCGATCGTTTTTCTGCACTTCTTTATATGTTTTCCCCTCTCCAATCAACTTTCTAATCAAGGTACTCTGTTCTTCTGAGCAATGTCTGGAACGAACCATTTTCCTCAGAATTTCAGAGAGAAATGCACTGTAACCAGCATGTACAACATTTGCTGCCTTCCTTCCTTAAATAAGGGCAATAATTGCCACCTGTTTTTCAAAGAATTAATGACCTCACTAATAGAACTCCACACTGCTATTATTTTGAACACGCCCCTTTCAATGAGTGATTCAATGACACAGAATCAGCAGCATGCATGTCATGACTGTTGGGTCTGTTGGATTTCTATTACTCTACTACACCTGCTAGGAAATTATTTGCCATGTAGAAATATCATTTCTACCAAAAACAGTGATTGATCCGGTTAGTGATGTCTGACTGCTATTATTTTGAACACAACTGTATATGTGCAAAGCCTACGTATGCATTTGCGTTTGAGCATGAGGGGGATGCAGGTGCTCTAAATAGTTTTTATTTTATTATTTACTACTTACTTACGATTTACCTAACAGTGACAGGTATTCTTTATGGAGACACCAGGGTGTCCACTGGAATGACTCCCCCACCAGACTCCTCATATAGCTTATATGTCACCTTTGGGTGGACTATTCCTTTAAGAAGAAGAAAAAAAAGTATTCACCTCTGATCGGGTATAACTTAGAATATTAAAGAAAAAAAGAAAACTCGTCAGGCGGTGCATAACACCTTCCTCACTTACTGCACCTCCAGGGAATTTATGGATGTCACACTCCCAGCGTGATAAGATAAGAATGTGTGTTTAATAAAAAAGTTCATTTATTATTCATACCTCTTATAGCACCTATAACCGCACATTCCGAGACCTGCTGTCATCGATTAACATAATACCTCTTCTCCGGCATCAGGTTTTTTTTTTTTTTTTTGAAACGTTCAAGCAAGATTTGAAAATGGATCATTTATTTCATTTAAAAAGAAAAAGCAAAGCTGACGTTTATTCCCTGGTTACTACTTTTCTCCCTCATCAAATTACAAATTATATTTTAAAATAAAATAGGATTCCATTACATAATATTTTAGACCCGGTGTTCTCATCACAGGGGTTCCGTGCTTCTCTATGCAATGCAGGCAGATCATGGCTGGTGGGAGGAGCTGGCAGGGTGCTGTACATCGCTTCCTGGAAAAATAACAGCACCCTAGCACAGCTCCTGATGTAGACAGCGGGCTGACTCTTGGGAGTTACCTTTGTCAACCAAGGTTCCTGCAGAAGTAGCTTGAAGTTCTTGACCAATGAGCAGTGGTGGACTTATCTCCTGCCTGGTGATACCTTTATAATTACAACATCAACGTCACTTAACTGAGCCATTGACATGAGACCAGTAGATCACTTCCTCAATTTTTCTGGTGAGTAACAGATACCAGATGTTTTTAGTGGTCTGTAAGGGGACCCTTCAAACATTCTAAGGGTGTTCTTCTCTCACTGACCGCCAACGTGCGCGAAGAAGCTTCTTTTTCCGACCGCCAACGTACGAGGAGGTTTCTTTTCCGGCCAACGTACGAGGAGGTTTCTTTTCCGACCAACGTACGAGGAGGTTTCTTTTCCGACCAACGTACGAGGAGGTTTCTTTTCCGACCAACGTACGAGGAGGTTTCTTTTCCGACCAACGTACGAGGAGGTTTCTTTTCCGACCAACGTACGAGGAGGTTTCTTTTCCGACCAACGTACGAGGAGGTTTCTTTTTCGACCAACGTACGAGGAGGTTTCTTTTCCGACCAACGTACGAGGAGGTTTCTTTTTCCGACCAACGTACGAGGAGGTTTCTTTTCCGACCAACGTACGAGGAGGTTTCTTTTCCGACCAACGTACGAGGAGGTTTCTTTTCCGACCAACGTACGAGGAGGTTTCTTTTCCGACCAACGTACGAGGAGGTTTCTTTTCCGACCAACGTACGAGGAGGTTTCTTTTCCGACCAACGTACGAGGAGGTTTCTTTTCCGACCAACGTACGAGGAGGTTTCTTTTCCGACCAACGTACGAGGAGGTTTCTTTTCCGACCAACGTACGAGGAGGTTTCTTTTCCGACCAACGTACGAGGAGGTTTCTTTTCCGACCAACGTACGAGGAGGTTTCTTTTCCGACCAACGTACGAGGAGGTTTCTTTTCCGACCAACGTACGAGGAGGTTTCTTTTCCGACCAACGTACGAGGAGGTTTCTTTTCCGACCAACGTACGAGGAGGTTTCTTTTCCGACCAACGTACGAGGAGGTTTCTTTTCCGACCAACGTACGAGGAGGTTTCCTTTCCGACCAACGTACGAGGAGGTTTCCTTTCCGACCAACGTACGAGGAGGTTTCCTTTCCGACCAACGTACGAGGAGGTTTCCTTTCCGACCAACGTACGAGGAGGTTTCCTTTTCCGACCAACGTACGAGGAGGTTTCCTTTCCGACCAACGTACGAGGAGGTTTCCTTTCCGACCAACGTACGAGGAGGTTTCCTTTCCGACCAACGTACGAGGAGGTTTCCTTTCCGACCAACGTACGAGGAGGTTTCCTTTCCGACCAACGTACGAGGAGGTTTCCTTTCCGACCAACGTACGAGGAGGTTTCCTTTCCGACCAACGTACGAGGAGGTTTCCTTTCCGACCAACGTACGAGGAGGTTTCCTTTCCGACCAACGTACGAGGAGGTTTCCTTTCCGACCAACGTACGAGGAGGTTTCCTTTCCGACCAACGTACGAGGAGGTTTCCTTTCCGACCAACGTACGAGGAGGTTTCCTTTCCGACCAACGTACGAGGAGGTTTCCTTTTTACGAGGAGGTTTCCTTTCCGACCAACGTACGAGGAGGTTTCCTTTCCGACCAACGTACGAGGAGGTTTCTTTTCCGACCAACGTACGAGGAGGTTTCTTTTCCGACCAACGTACGAGGAGGTTTCTTTTCCGACCAACGTACGAGGAGGTTTCTTTTCCGACCAATGTACGAGGAGGTTTCCTTTCCGACCGCCAATGTACGAGGAGGTTTCCTTTCCGACCGCCAATGTACAGGGTTTTTTTTGCTTACTGGCCACCAACGTACGAGGACATTTCCTTGCCGACCACAAATGTACGAGGACGTTTCCTTGCCAAATGCCAATGTATGACGACGAGGACATTTCCTTGCTGACTGCCAATGTATGGGGACAACTCCTTAAGCTGGCCATGGATGGGTAGAATTTCAAACCAAAATTTCTTAAGAAAAGAAGGTTCTAAAAAAAGTTTGTTCCTTTTTCTAATCTTTAGTGGGTCAAATTGTTCTCAACCACAATAATTGGGAAAATTCGAGGGAGCAGCAGTGAAAAATTCTTGAATAAACTAATTTCTAACAGTTTACCTGGTTTCGGTTCGGTAAAGTCTATTCATTCCAAAATCAAATGTTAAAAGCCCAATGAAAACTTTTGAACAACGAACGTTCTGCGACTTTTCGTACTAAATTTTTCTAAGACTCTTCTTAAGAATTTTCATTGAAATGTCTGGCTAGTTTTGCTGACCACCAATGCATGGGAATCTTTCCTTACCGAACATCAATGTCTAGGGCAGGGGCACACTGACAGCTCATGGGGCCCCCAGGCAATAGGGGATCATGGGGCCCCTGTGTCCTTGCCCAAGCCTATGAAAAAGGTACCAGGGACATCTCATGGGGCCCCCTACCGACCCCGGGCCCTCGGGCAGTGCCCGAGTTTCCAAATGGTCAGTCTACCCCTGGTATAGGGACATTTCCTTACCAACCACCAATATACAAGGACGTTTCCATACTGAGCAACATATGGAAACGTTTCCTTACCAACCACCAACATACAAGGACTTTTCTTTGCTAACCACAATATACGGAGACAGTTCCTTACCAACCACCAATATACAAGAATGTTTCCTTACTGACCATCAATGTATGGGGTCCTGTCCTCACCAACCACCAGTGTACCAACCACCAATGTACAAGGACATTCCATATTGACCATCAATATATGGAGACATTTCCTTACCAACAAACCAATATACAAAGTATGTTTCTTTATGGACCATCAATGTATGGGGTCCTTTCCTTACCAACCACCAACATACAAGAATGTTTCCTTACCAACCACCATCAATGTATAGGAATGTGTCCTTACCAACCACCAACATACAAGAATGTTTCCTTACCAGCCATTACCACTTACTGCTTGCAAGTTTATTTTTTCTTAGGAGAGTGTATGTGATCAGCACAGGGCCAAATCAGTGCAGTCAGGGGTTATGCAGCCTCACAGGACAATCAGTGGAGAATGAAAACTTGTCCTACAAGCTTTAACCAGTGCTCAGCTGGACACTGATAGAAGACACAAGACTGCTATATACTACCGATGAGAGAAGATATTTAGCAGTTTATATTTACTAAAATAATTGCATTTCCATGTTCTGTGTACTGTGGGAGAGCGGACATAGTGACTGCCGGCTCCGGGGGAGAGCGGACATAGTGACTGCCGGCTCCGGGGGAGAGCGGACATAGTGACTGCCGGCTCCGGGGGAGAGCGGACATAGTGACTGCCGGCTCCGGGGGAGAGCGGACATAGTGACTGCCGGCTCCGGGGGAGCGGACATAGTGACTGCCGGCTCCGGGGGAGAGCGGACATAGTGACTGCCGGCTCCGGGGGAGAGCGGACATAGTGACTGCCGGCTCCGGGGGAGAGCGGACATAGTGACTGCCGGCTCCGGGGGAGAGCGGACATAGTGACTGCCGGCTCCGGGGGAGAGAGCGGACATAGTGACTGCCGGCTCCGGGGGAGAGCGGACATAGTGACTGCCGGCTCCGGGGGAGAGCGGACATAGTGACTGCCGGCTCCGGGGAGAGCAGACATAGTGACTGCCGGCTCCGGGGGAGAGCGGACATAGTGACTGCCGGCTCCGGGGGAGAGCGGACATAGTGACTGCCGGCTCCGGGGGAGAGCGGACATAGTGACTGCCGGCTCCGGGGAGAGCGGACATAGTGACTGCCGGCTCCGGGGGAGAGCGGACATAGTGACTGCCGGCTCCGGGGGAGAGCGGACATAGTGACTGCCGGCTCCGGGGGAGAGCGGACATAGTGACTGCCGGCTCCGGGGGAGAGCGGACATAGTGACTGCCGGCTCCGGGGGAGAGCGGACATAGTGACTGCCGGCTCCGGGGGAGAGCGGACATAGTGACTGCCGGCTCCGGGGGAGAGCGGACATAGTGACTGCCGGCTCCGGGGAGAGCGGACATAGTGACTGCCGGCTCCGGGGGAGAGCGGACATAGTGACTGCCGGCTCCGGGGAGAGCGGACATAGTGACTGCCGGCTCCGGGGGAGAGCGGACATAGTGACTGCCGGCTCCGGGGGAGAGCGGACATAGTGACTGCCGGCTCCGGGGGAGAGCGGACATAGTGACTGCCGGCTCCGGGGGAGAGCGGACATAGTGACTGCCGGCTCCGGGGGAGAGCGGACATAGTGACTGCAGGGTCCGGGGAGAGACCAGATATAGTGAATGCAGGGTCCTGGGTTTAGTAACACTTTAACTGTCCCCTGAAAAGTGATCTGAACATGGATCGCTCTTCATAGGGCACTGCACTCCAGTGAGATTGTGAAAGAGCACCAACGTACTGTACATCAAGTACATAAGGCCCTTTCAGATCATGGCGATGCATCAACACCTGCCTCCTGGCGCTCACTATCCTTGGATCAGCATGCGTTGTGGTAAAACAACCCCTTCAAAATGAACAGGCTGACAATGCAGCAAAACTGGTGCATGCAGCATTCCTGGCAGTGCACTGCAATGCACATTAGTTGGTCAGCAAGCTGCGTCGGGATGCCATTCAGCAGGCATGGCACTACATCATGCCAACACACGGAATGAGGGCTGAACAGATTTAAAAATATTTTGGCAAGTAGAACAATTCACTTCCCGGGTATCTTTCTGCTGGATTTAGCGCTTTGGCTGGATCTCCGCTAGAATGACACGTTTCCCACGAATGACCATTATGTGATGTGTGCCGCCAGCAGAGCCGCCCATAAATGTGCCAGCTCTTCTGACAATCAAACGTGTTCCGGCAGAAAGGGACATCGGATCAGAACATGACAGAACCAGGCTGTCACTCCTTCTGCTACAGACCTGCGCTGTACGCCAGACGCTTCCACTTTAATGAATTCATCCAACAAAAAAAAAAAATGACATAGGATGCAGTCTGTTACTAGCATTAAAGCAGAACTCCGCGCACAAAAAAAAAAACTTTTCCTTTAAAATCTATATAAATATATTTCTCAAGGCTATAGATGAACTTTGTGTGCACCAAATACCTTTACAAATCCAGATATTACCCGGTAAAGGTTGTAGTGATATCACTGAGGTTTACATGGAGAAAGCAAAGCTGTTTAACCACTTGCCTACCAGGCAATTATACCCCCTTATTTACCAGGCCAATTTTCAGCTTTCAGCGTTGCCGCACTTTGATTGACAATTGCGCGGTCATGCAACATTGTACCCATATGAAATGTTGATCATTTTTTTCTCACAAATAGAGCTTTCTTTTGGTGGTATTTAATTGCCACTGGGCGCTTTACTTTTTGCGCTATAAATTAAAAAAGTGCAAAACATTTGAAAAAAAAAAAAAAAAAAAGTTTCTTTGTTTCTATTATAAAATTTTTCAAACAGGTAATTTTTCTCCTTCACTGATGTGCGTTGATGAGGCTGCAGATGGGCACACTGATGGGCACTGATAGGCAGCACTAAAGGGCACTGATAGGCAGCTAATGAGGTGGCACGGATAGGCGGCACTGATAGGCAGCACTAATGAGGTGGCACGGATAGGCGGCACTGATAGGCAGCACTAATGAGGTGTCACGGATAGGCGGCACCAATATGCAGCACTGATAGGCGGCACTGATGATGGGTACTGATAGACGGCAGACTGGCATCACTGCTGGGCACTGACTGGCACAACCGCTGGGCACTGACTGGCAGCACTGACTGGGCAGCACTGGTGGGTGGCACTGGTGGGCAGCACTGGTGGGTGGGCACAGGTGGGTGGCACTGGTGGGCACAGGTGGGTGGCACTGGTGGTGGCACTGCTGGGCACAGGTGGGGCACTGGTGGGCACAGGTGTGTGACACTGCAGGTGGCACAAGTGGGTGACACTGCAGAGTGGCACAGGTGGGTGCACTGCTGGGCACAGGTGGGTGACTGCTGGGCACAGGTGGGCGGAGCTAGTGGGCGCACTGCTGGGCACAAGGTGGGCGGAACTTGTGGGTGGCACTGCTGGGCACCATGATCAGGGCATGATCATCAGTGCACTGATGATCGGTGTGCCGATCCTCGCTCTGACAACTGCCGGTTCTCGGCAGTACTTTCCTCACGATCTGACAGCGTGAGGAAAGTGCAGCCGAGAACCGGCACTTGCATTTCCCTGTGATCAGCGTGTCATTGGACACCGCTGATCACGTGGTAAAAGGCCGGTATGATTGGCCTTTTACCACATCTCGTGATCAGCTGTGTCCGTTGGACACAGCGATCACGGAGATCGTCGGGTGCGCGCGCCCCCTGGGGCGCGCAGGAGAGCGCGTTCTGGGGGGACGTCATATGACGTCCACCCAGAACTGGCCGGCCGCAGTGCAGCCGTCATTCGGCTATCTGCGGTCGGCAACTAGTTAAGGAGCCCAGAAAGCTCCGCCCACTACAGGCTGCCTGCAGAAAACTACAGGAGGGGGGTGGAGACAGGACCAGTCACCCTGCACAAGGAGAGAGGGCAGCAGTGAGTGGTCTTTAATACAGGAAGGGTCCTTTCAAACGTTCCGTTTTTTTTTTTGTCAATTTAGTCACCACGGATAAGTTTACAATCAGTTTTTCTAACTGAAGAAAAATAGGGTTTTCGTCCATTCAAAACAACAGATGTTAACATATGCGGACATTAACCCCTCGCCTGCCGGGCACTTTTACCCCCTTCGTGCCCAGACCAGCTTTCAGCGCTGTCACACTTTGAATGACAATTGCGCGGTCATGCAACACTGTACCCATATGAATTTTTTCGCATTTTTCTGAGACAGACACAATTTTATTTTGGTGGTATTTATTAATCACTGTGATTTTAATTTTGTTTTGCTATATACAGTCAGGTTCATAAATATTGGGACATCAATTGCGCGGTAATGCAACACTGTACCCATATATAATTTTTATCATTTTTTTTAACACAGATAGAGCTTTATTTTGGAGGTATTTAATCGCCGCTGGGTGTTTTATTTTTTGCGCTATAAAAAAAAAAGATAAAAAAAAAAAAAGATTTTCTATGTTTCTAATATAAAATTTTGTAAACAGGTAATTTTTCTCCTTCACTTATGTGCGATGAGGCTGCACTGATAGGCGGCACCACTGATATGCAACAATGACGGGCAGCACTGATGAGCAGCACGGGTGGGTGGCACTCCTAGGCACTGATGGGCACAGATGGGTGGCACTGATGGGCAGCAATGCTGGGCACAGGTGGGCGGCAATGCTGGGCACTGATCATTAGTGCCCTGATGATCAGTGCCGATCCGCCCTCTGACAATAGCCGGTAATTTATATTGTAAAGTGCTGAGCAAACTGTTAAAGCGATATAAATCTGTTGTGTCATTGGACACAGCTGATCATGTAGTAAAAGGCCGCTGTGATTGGCTTTTTACTACATCATATGATCAGCTGTGTCCGTAGGACACAGCGATCACGGAGATTGCCGGGTG